GCAGCAAAGGTGTGGAGAGCTGATAGGAATATCTCAAGAGGTACAACACAGAAGATACTGTTCTTTAAGAAAGTGAGATATAACAAGCTGTCCCTACCTGAGGGAATCATGGGGCCTCATTTCTAAATTTGAATGATCCAGGACCTTCTGTAATTGATGATAATTTTGCACAGCTGCTCACAGTTGCAGAGTCACCAAAGAACTTCACAGAGGACCTCAGCCAATGGCATGTATCTGCCCCTCTGACCTCAGCCCTCCCTAAGGACGTCTCCTATTCCTGGTCTGTGAAAAAGCCTTGCCCACCCTGTCTGCTCTGTGCCCCAGTGGGGAACATGCCTCAGCTGGCTCTGATCTTCTCACGGCTGGGGAGCACCCGTGTGGGAGTTGTGGGTGTCCGGCTGGAGCCCACAGCATCAAGCTTCTCTGTATCTCTGTATGGAGAAAATTAGTCTGCTGGCTACCAGAAAAAGAGTGTAGTGGAAAACATGCACCTGGAAGAAAACAACACTAGTGTCAATCCACAATCAGTCAGAAACAATTTATTTTTTTTTTAGATTTATTTTATCTCATTGATACTTCAAAATTTTTGTTTCAGAGTTTATGCGAAAAAGAAATGTTTTAATTTTAACTAAGCATATGTTTAAGCGTTACAGTAAAAGTTGCTTGATTTTCAATGATTGTTGCTGAAATAATAATTCAGAAATTTAAAAAAAAAAAAAGCTAAACTTTTTTTTTTTTTTCAGTTTGAAACTTCAATACCCTAGGCAAAAATATGGGGATATGTACATTAAAACTGTTATGATTGGCAAATATGCAAATCATAATTTGGAAAAGCAATTATATTGGTTTTGAGAAGAGAATCAAAGGAAATGAAATGCATTGGAAAATAACCACAGGCGGAATTTTTGAAGAAAGTAGTATTGCAGTATTAGGCTGAGTAAAGTAATAATATTAATATTAATATTCACTAATATTATTGAAGATCTTTGATGTAGAACTATTAGTATTGCCACTAACATTTGCAACATTAGGGCAGCTGCTCTGGCAAGACAACAGTGCCTTAGATTTTGTCAACTGGGGAGAAGGACAGCCCTCGGAGGACCAGCTTGATTACTGCGTGGAGTTGTCTGCATTCTCTGGCTACTGGAGTATCCTTCCTTGCTCTTCCCAAAAGGGTTTTATTTGTAAGAAACCAAAGAGTAAGTGACTTTAATATTTGCTCTTGACGATTATGCTTTTATTTCAGTAGCAATAGCACAATATGACCATTACAAAAGCCTGACATAAAACATTGTATTTACAGTCTTCCTTATCACCTGTTTCAGCATTTAGACAAAAATAATATGAATATATAGAGTTATCCTTTTTTTTTCCTGTCTTCCCTGTTCATGTTTTATTGCTTCATAACTTCAGATTTTCTTGCATTCTGTGATGAATATTCAATTAATAACTAAAGATGATCAATGTTTTCTGGAAAATTTTTAAACTCCTTTGTTGTTTTGCTCCCCTCCAACTTACACACATATTTTCCTGCTAACGTTCATATTCACTTTCTATGGAACAAAGGTTGTATCAATAATTTGCTTTTCTTCCTCTTGCTGTACTGGAACATGCTGTTCCAGCAAGAGATGGATGAAGCAATTCTATTTAAATAATAACAGAACGGAAGCAAGATCCAGAGCACGTATAGTGACCTTTGAAAATAGTAGAAGTTTTGGTTAGCATTCTTTTTTTTTTAATGTTGTGTTTCTGTGCAACTGGAGCACCATCTGCTTTGGTCAGGAAGTAGAAATATCAGAATATCGTGAGCCAAACAGCCATGTGGTATTTTGGAGTTTAACTGTTAATTCCGCAAAAAAAGTACGATTTCCTGTCCTATTTCGCAACCCCGAGGTTCGGGATGTTTCTGAGGTTCTGTCCTTTCCCCTCCCAGAGCAAAGCTGCAGCTGGTGGGGAAAGCAGCCGTACACATTCATAGCAGTGTCAGAGCATTTTCTGAAAAGGAAAATTCTCCTTTTAGGGCAACTCCTAAATTTCTTTGGGTAGTCAGAACAATAGACGCTAGAGAAAGCTAATTCTTTGTTACCAGGTATATCAGAAAGCAGAAATACAGTGTCGACACACAGTTTGTTGGGTTTGACTGTGAGTGGCCCCTCCATGCAATGCCAAAGTACAGAGAATATTCCCTGACACCAGGTTCTCCAGAAAACGGGGTTTCAGCACAAGCAAGCGTTACATTACAGTGAGCTCTGCATCCTTCCAAGGGGCAATTTAACAGTTGCATTTCCTTCGTGCTTGCAAACACGCTGGATCTTAATGCGTTGCTGTCCTCCTGCTGCAGCAGTCCAGCTCCTGGTGCTTCCTATGCTGGAACGCGAACTCAACTCTCCCTGTGGCTTCCGCTGCCCATGGGGAAGATCTGCTCTTGCGCTGGCCATCATCCAGCTCGCACCCAGCGCCCCGAGAAATATCTTGCAGATGGCGCCCTCTTTGCACGGCCGGGATAAACTGCACAAGAAAGCTCGAGCTTATAAATGTAATTACAGTTGCAAATGAATTATGGTAAATGAAAATCTGCTGGGTCTCAAAGGAATTGTGTGCAGTACAGGAAAACTGTCAAGTATCCTCAGCATTTGATCAAGTTTTTCCCAGTCTGCGCAGGCATGCAGACCCAGTGAAGAGGGCAAGATTTATTAACCAGGGGAGAAGAGAGACCATCTAAAACAGTCAGAAACTACCTGCGCTTGGAGATTCTTTGGTTATTAAAAAAGAAGCAAGAAGGGTGCTTTAATATCCAAACACTGCAGTTTTATTACAGTGAATATCAGGTTAAAAATCAATCACACCTTTTCATCTCTGTTAATTCAGCAAATGTGTTTCCAGAAGTGATGAGGTAACCTTGATGCGCAGACCTTTTGCTAACACAAAACTGTCAAGTTGAAAATGTGACCTTTTTAGATTTTGACTAAACATTTGTCTTTATCTTTGACAGCTATTCTTAAAGCAGCTGCAAACATGGAAGGTAGGGTTTATTTTTCCTTCCCAATAGTTTCAAAAAGACATGAAAAGAAATACTTGGGGTTTTTAACAAATTGGTATTTATTATTTATTTGTCTTTTATATATTTATTTATATGACCTTAATTTACTTAGTTGCCATTGAATTCATTCCCAGCATAATTTAGCAGTACCTATGAGACACTTAGGGCATCCAAGGATAACTAAATACCTTGATAAACTGATCACCTCTCTTTGCTCCTTGTTGTGCATGCTAAGATCTATGAGGGAGACTGACACAGAGACATTATGATAGATTTTTAATAAAAAAATTATCCTAAAAGACCCCATACAAGAATATCTACCCCTGAATTATCATAGCTTCTTTGCCCACCCTCCTATCCTTGCCTCAAGAGAACAGTGGAAGAAGGCCAGGAGATGTTGAGGTTATGTTCCATTTCCTTCATAAATGTGGGTTGTTGATTAACAACCTGGTAATTAATGCAGATATTAGACCAATAATTTTCAGTATTCTTCATATTTATTTATGGCTGTAGTACACCCAATTCTATTTGCTTTGTATTTATTTACAGATGCCAAAAAGGACAAAGCACATGGTCACATGAATACGTGGATGCTACTTACTCTGGTCCTCATCATTTTGTTAGGGATGGGCATCATGATTTATTTCTTATTCAAGATCAAAACTCAAAGTGAGACTAAAAGAGAAGCGAGGCGGCACAGCACACTGCTAGAATACAGCTGTGTCCTAACTGTAAAGGACAATGAAAATGATTCTACTAACGACAAAGAAAAAAATGAATACAGCGTTGTCTAATGGGATAACACAGCCAGACGATATGGTTAAGCTTAAAAACAAATCTAGCTGGAACAAAAGAATTCTTAGTAAAAGTTACATGCACCTAACAAACAGACTTTATGAACTAAAATTAGCAGTTATTCCTTTGGTATGGATTAAGAGCTATTGCTCTATGCTCTTCAAGAAATACTCTCAGGACTAAGACTCAGTACTGTATAAAATGGCTAATGAAACAAACATGACAAATAGCAGAAGTACTATGAATTTAGATTTAAAAATTATGGATTAATACCTTAGTGTTCCTTCTTTTTAGAGATTTGTGGCAGCATCACATAGAGAGTCAAGTGCAGCCATACAGTGAGCACTCTGCAGAGCACTCAGCCCCAAAGCCTGCACTTTGAGAATATATCTCACCACAGCGTACTGAAGACTGCATACTATTACTCAAGTAAAATGGTCTTTGGAATAAAGAGAGATTTACATGAATCATTTTTCTCCATTATTGTTCCTGCTTTACACTCTTTACACAAGTATCTTCCTTGCCATAGTATTACAAGTGAAATGCAAATACTTGTCCTTCATTCATGGCTTCAACTTGGATTTTGCAAAACAAGTAAATCTTTGCAAACACTCATATTCTATGACTTTGAATGTTTTGTATCAGTTATGAATATAAGACTATGTCAATAAAGGATCTATATCTTATGTAATAATAATTCAGTGTTGTTTAATTAGTATGCAGAGGTGTTATACAGTTTGGTGACGTAATGAGTCATTTACCTTAAGAGAGAGGCTAACAGGATGAAACACAGAAACTTGAACAAGGCATATGACTAAAAAGAAATATAAATAAACTATAAAATAAAGTGGATGCCTAATAAAGCTGGAAGAATCCATTCCTGATTTTATTTCACTTGAGTGCTTATTTTAGGATGCCTTCTCTTACTGTCCTCCAACTCTCTGATAAATGGACTGATGACTGGGCACTGTATCCACGCTACAGGCCAGTAAGGCAGTGGGGCATACCACAGTGTCTTGGTAGTGTAATGCTTTAGAGGTTTCCTGTGCTGTTTAAGTTTTTAATTAATTCTATGCTGTCTATGACGGACTGAAGAAAAAAAAAAAAGAAAACCATCTCAAGGATCTCTGGGAAAAACAGACCCTTAGGAAGTGCGTAAGAGCTGTATAGGAGAGGTCATTGGGAAGGAGAGATTCACATGACATTGGACTGCTGGTTTGTAGATATTGCAGTCAAACAAAACATATTGCAGAGGATAGGGAAGGAAGGGCATTCTGTACTCAAACTATTTTTACTGACAGTCCCCTTGATCTTATGCTTTTTTCTTCCTTCATGTAAGTTACAACACATACCCATATTTATCTTTTTTGTAAATACTGACACTGAATTGGATTCAGTGCTGTTTGATGGCTAATGATAAAGGCAAGGCAAATGAAAAGAGTAAACAGATGGAAAAAACCCCAAACCTGAAATAAGATCATTATTTATAATTTTGATAGTTGATATCGGTAACACAGCTCTGAAGACCCTATACTCTGTAAATGGGTTTCTTCTCTCACATTAAGTGCCCTTGCAGAATATATTGTGAAATTTGTCTTCATAAAGCCATAAAAAATGAGAGAAAATTCTAAGGGCAATTTCAGCTGAATATCTTTCTTCCTTTTCCTTCAAAACAAATAAGGGATTTTGCTTCATAGCTAAAGTTGATTTCCACTTAATAAAGGGCTACAGTTCATTTGTAAGGTTTCAGAATATTCCTCTTCGCATGTCTCATTTACACTTGGTACAAAGAAAGAATTATGAAGTATTAAAATTAATTTGTACTTTATGGATTAAATAGTTTTGAAAGTTAAATAGTTTTGTTGTCAAAACCACTGGTTAACAGAAAGATTTGTAAAGATTTGGCTAATTTGTATTGGTTCTTTTGAGATAAATTCACATGAAACAACAACACATTAGTTTTACCAGTTGATAAATCGAAGGAGATAAAAGCCAGGTGTATACATAGCATCCAGTTTGTCAAGTTACAGAGAAAAATTGAATTGACCCATCTGGGTTAATTTTTTGCACTGAAATAGTTGACATTGCTTGGTGCATCAAATTAAATGAGTATATCTTTTGTAGCCATGAAGACCTATCTGGCCAAGAAATTCGCATATATTTTTTTCTGAGTTTCCCAGGTATGTGTGTATGAGATTTAAAGTACATCCATTTCAAGTGCACTCCCTGCTTCTTTGTCTTTGAGAGTGAGGACTTTACAATCCCAGAGCAGAAAAAAGACAGTTAAAAATAATTCAGCGGAATGATGTTGAACTGTTCAATCTTTGCCACTTGCATTTGAATGGAAGGAAATCTCACTTTCAGATGCAAAGTTTGAATTTTGTAATTATTTATAGATTCCAGAATACCACATGTGACAGGATATTTCCTTATTTAGAGACCAGAGTTTTCTCTTTCAACTAAAACTCTCCAAAACTGAGAAGGAGCTAGCACCAACTGGTTCCTTAAGGACTTCTACTGCAGAAATTCATTTCAGCTCATCTCTTTGTGAATAAGAAGAAAGAAATGAAACACTTGACTTTTTCTACAGTCTTAGTTTTCCTCTCTTTCATTCATACTGCTTTTCAGATACTCGGTGAGTCTTTGTTTTTTATCCCCTGCAAAAGTGGATGTGAAAGAGGGCATTTTTGTTGTCTTGCTTGTTTCTCAGGCTCTTTAAGATTTTCATGCAGCTTGACTGCCCTGCATTTCATATTCATCCTAACTGGAGTGGTCCACAGGAGTTTAAAAAAAAATGCAGATACGGAGATGTTGGTTCAATTTTAAAGAGAAGGGAAGAGTCAAGATAGGGTAAAGCTGGGAATCAGAAGTCAGGACAGAGTCATGTATACAGATAAAGATTTCCTTTTGGATACAACTTAATTTTTGGTTATGTCTGCTCTGTGAAGTAGATGGACTTCACAGTCGCTCCATAGTCCTTGTTTGTATATGTGACTGAGTTATGACAAATGAAAAAGAGAAAGGAATTAAATAGGGTGCTGTATGTGTATCTCCTAGCCTTAGGATGAGGTTGGGTGGGATGAGATGGAACTTGTGGTGAGATGTAATACTGTGGCTGAGCAGACGCCAGTGAAAAAAATATTAAAAATGTCAGAGTCAAGAACAGCCCTGGAATAACCACTACCAGCTTTCAGAGTAAGGATGAGAGGCGTAGCTAAGCCTTAGAAGTTGACTGAGGACAGATCACAGCTCCCCTTTGATGTAAGGATGGTGATAATGTTCAAGGACATTTTTCCTTTATCCTTCAATTCATTAGATTTGTGGAGGAGTGGGGTACAAATCACAGCTTCTGAAAGCAGACGCTGTGCTGTGTGAGCTGTGCCAGCACTAGCCTGTGTGAAAAGGGGATCTCCCCTCTGCTCTGAGAGCTGAGACCCAAACCCACATGATAGCCCAAGTACAAACCTCACAGTTTCCAGAGACAACTCCTATTATTAGACCCAAAAATACTACGAGGGGTAATAGCTGAAACTTAGGGCACTGCACGAAGCACTTCAGTTAGCAGTAAGGAATAAAAGATTTAACAAGATTTAAAACTTTCTGTCTAAATAGACAAGGAAAGAAGAAACTAGGTCTTACTCCAAATTTAGATTTGAAGAAGTGAAACTTCCACAGATTACTAAGCTGATCAAAATAATACAGGGCCTTCTTGGGAGAGCTCAAGCATTAAATACAGATATCCTAACAAGAACTATTCTTCCTATCATAGCTTCCCAGAACTTCCTAGACTCTTTCTGCTCTGTTGACTACTCAACATTGGCTGTGCCCTAACATCCTACCCTTGTACTACAAATTTACTTTAGTGTTTGGAAGGGTATCTCACTGTTCCTTATGTGGTTATTCTCTCAGATGGTTACAGGGGTGATGCTAGACCTCTGTTTCCAGGTGGGGATTTGAGGCACAGAGAACTGAAGGGCAAAGCCTTGCCCTCCTGTCCCATAGGTCCTAGAATATTCCCTGTAGTCCAAATTTCACTCCCTCATGACCCAAAGCCAGTAGAAGCTGTATGCTACTTGATGTTTTGAAGAGCAAGCAGCTGTGTTCACAGACCGATGCCCAGCACTGAACGACCTGCTCTACATGTCGGCAGTACAACTGCAGTACTGGGCAGCCCTTCCCGGCAGGGCCTACTTGTCTTGATGTATTACTAAATTAGGCTGCCTATAGTCCTTTGGAAGCATTAGCTAGCATGTTTAATATTCACATATTGTCTTTCCATAGCAATGCACAGGCATACAGGCACACACCTATGGTATCTTTACCTCTATATGCTGCCCAGTGTTGGTTCTCGTGAGAATGTTCGCGATTTGATTGTGTGAATTATCTTGACTTCTTATGATACACATACTAATGACAGGATACTGGAACAAGGCAAGATAACAAGTTACTGTTCCACAGTTTTTCATCCTTAAAAAATCCTTAAACCATAGCAGAACATGCCAATTACAGAAGGAGCAAGAATCACAGAAGGCTTGCCCACTAACTGTATTAAGCACAAATGCAACCCCATGGAGATGTGTGTAACATGAGCTAAATCTATAGTGCATGAACTTCCAAATCTTCAGTAAGGTCTCTTTTGGAAATCTTGAAAGAAATGTGTATTTCAGGAGGTATTTTGAAAATAAAATCCACTATACTCCTGAAAATTCCATTATAGTTGTCCTGGTTTCGGCTGGGATAGAGTTAATTTTCTTCCTAGTAGCTGGCATAGTGCTGTGTTTTGGATTTAGTAGGAGAAGAATGCTGAAAACACACTGATGTTTTAGTTGTGGCTAAGTAGTGCTGACACTAGTCAAGGACTTTTCAGCTTCCCATGCTCTGCCAGGTGCACAAGAAACTGGGAGGGGGCACAGCCAGAATAGTTGATCCAAACTGGCCAAAGGGCTATTCCATACCACATGACATCATGCTCAGTATAGAAACTGGGGGCAGTTGGCAG